CAAGTCCTAAAATAAAATATTAAGAGAAGTGAGTGTTCCATTCAAGGACTGGCTGATCTCCAACCCATAATAATCCAATTTGGAAGGAATCTCTTAGGTCTGTTTGGAAGCTTCACCTGTCAAATAAAACTGTAAGTCTAGACTGGGCAGATTCTGAGCTATATCTATATCCAAATCACAGGTTCAGTGTTCCTTAGAGTTTGAGTCTCGCCTTGCTTGCATTGTTCCATGTGTGTCTTTAGGGCGAGCTTCTCTTAGTCACATGCTCATGGTCCAACCTGCCTCATGGTGACCTTCTTCTCTGTTGTCTTCCCCTCCTTCCCTTCATGGTTTCTCTTGAGACCCCTCACTTGATTCTAAGTCCCGCCTTCTTCTCTTCCTTGCCCAGCCATAAGCCCCAGACATTTATTGGCCAATCAGGAATTATCGGGCAGCATTCTTTACAGTACATCGGTTAATACAGTGCCCCAAGATCAGCTTGTAATCTGGACTGGGACACAGAATTCAGTTTGGGCATACGCAGCAGCACACAAGACTAACCCCAGCAATACAAAGTAAGGAAGCCTAATGAGAACAATCTTCATTGGAGTGTCTTGTAAGAAAAACGCCAAATAGTAAGCCCACCAGGGTCACAATTTCCAGCACATGCAGACACAAGGTATGTCATCTAGATAGAGCGAGAAGGACCTGTCGCAGAAATGCCATGCATTTAGTGTCATCAGGTCAGGGAGGAATGATCACTGTTAAGATTCCTGACCCCTTAGTGGTGCAAATCATTAATCCCAGGACTTGGAAGGCAGAGGCAGGAGGATCTCTGAGTTCTAGCCAGCCTGGTCAATACAGTGACTTCCAGGAGACCTTGCCTCAACCTACCACCCAAACAACTATTGTCACACCAAACTGATTCCTGTTTGTCTTTACTATACTTAAGAGTGAAAAGGTAGTTGTGTAACAAGCCTGTGTCTATAACCTGTATGTTCAGCCATAGGACAGTTGGGGAAAGACTGAGCACTCATAGGGCAGCTTTGAGATGAACACATCTCCCGATTTCTACCATACAGACATGCTCTGACAAGATAGGAGGTCCTTACTCAGTGAGGACACTAGTGTGAAGATCTCCGTCATCACCGTCTGGTACAGGAGCCTTTGAGAGTCATCAAGCAGTGTCCATTCCTCCCAGGAGAAGTACACAGCCACATCCTCAAAGGACACACAGCCCTGAACAGTGGAGAAAGTTGAGTTTGTTTATATGAAGCCACCTTGTCAGGGACTCTTGGTATCCTCGAGACGGTCATTTCTACTTAGCTTCCTACCTCAGAGGGTACCAGGCTATGAACCTATTGATACCCAGGCTGTCCTCCAGGTCCCGACAACCACTGTGCTCAGCACTCAGCAGCAACAGGCATGTTGACATGGTACCTTAGTTACTTTTCTCTTACTGTGAAGAGACACCATGACCAAGGCAACTTCTGGAACAATGTGTTTATTAGGGCTTACACTTCAGGAGTTGTAACTTTCATGGCAGGGAACATGGCTACAGACACACACAGCACTGGAGCAGTAGCTGAGAGCTTATGTCCTGATCCATGGGTTCTAAGTTAAGAAAGTTAACTGGGAATGACAAGAGCTTTTAAAACCTACAAGCCTACCCCCAGTGACACATCTCCTCCAACAATCTCAGAATTGTCCCCAGACTTTTCACCAATGGGGACCAAGTATTCAAGTCTATGAGCCAAAGTGGGGCATGTTCGTTAAAACGACCACAGCTGGAGTCAATCCAAGCTGGAAGGATGCCATGGAAAGTCCCTCCTTTCTATGAGGCTACCTGGGAATTCATCCGGGCTCCTCCCAATCACCTGTCTCACACAGACCACATTTGGGTCACTGTTGTCCACTCTGTCCCTGGCACGAAGACCATCTACACATGACTTCAGGGCACACACATCAGTCTTCACACTGAGCCTCCATTTCCATCTCAGTATGCAGGCTCAGCCCTCAGCTGCTGTGCTACCCCAACTCCTACCTTCCACTAAAGCCAGCAGACCTCAGGCACTCCTGAGCATTTCCCAGCATCCCCGACCCATCTCACTTCCAGGCATCCTCCAATGTCGTCACTGGAACTTTAAGACCTCTGAATCTTCAGCCAGTGGTTAGTTAGCATAAAGGGAAACCTGGCCATGTAATCCCTGCTGTGGATGTGGAGACCTTTCATTCTGAGCATGTGCCAGGAAAATCCAACGAATGGACAGAGAGAATCCCAAATACAGAGTCTCAGGACACCATAGTCCAGAGGTCACTTATGTCTTAAGTGAGGAGTGTGATTCTTGGGTACTGTCCACTTACCTCTTCCTGGTTGGCAGGTTTCACTGAATACTGGGAAACCTGTAGAAAAACAAGGCTGTGAGTAACAAGCAAGAGTGTTGGTGTCCCAAAGGTTCACCAAAGTCCCCTCTCATACATGTAGTCAGGTACCCTCAACAGCCCCCTGGGCTCTATCCCTTACTGGTGACCTTGGACAAAGAATGAATCTCTTCTGTTTGTTACCTGAGGATAAGCATGGGAGCCCGTCTCATTTACTGTCTTATTGCCATGAAGAGATACCATGGTCAAGGCAACTCTTACCAAAGCTTTTTTTTTTGAGACAGGGTTTCTCTGTATAGCTCTGGCTGTCCTGGAACTCACTCTGTAGACCAGGCTGGCCTCGAACTCAGAAATCCACCTGCCTCTGCCTCCCAAGTGCTGGGATTAAAGGCGTGTACCACCACCGCCCACAAAAGCTTCTAAGTAGGGCTTGTTTATAGTTTCATAGGGGTTTGCCCATTATTATTATCATGGTGAGAAGCAGACAGGTGTGGTACTGACACAGTAGCTGATGAGAGCTTTATGTCCTATTATAGATGCAGCAGGAAAGACGGGGTGGGGTAGGGGGCATAACAGACAGTAGCCTTGGCAAATTCTCCCAGCTACATACTTCCTTTAACAAGACCACACTTCTTAGTTTTTCTCAAACAGTGCTACTCCCTTGTGACTAAGCATTCAAATACAGGAGCCATGAAAATCATTCTCATTTAAATCACCACACAATCCTAGCTCAAAAGGAAATTATATTAAACTCAGTCCTATGTGTTAAGTCCTCAGTATAGGCTTTTCCTATGCATATTACTAAAGCTTGTGTCTAGAATTTCACAAACACAATTGTTTCAGAATGTATGGGTTCATCTATATACAGTTAGTTAAGAATTTGGGAGGCAGGTGGTAGTGGCTTTCATCTTTAATCTTATACAGGAAAAGCCTGTCTCAGAAAACCAAAAAAAGATGCCGGGCAGTGGTGGCACACGCCTTTAATTCCAGTACTAGGGAGGCAGAGGCAGGTAGATCTTTGAGTTAGAGGCTAGCCTGCCTGGTCTGCAGACTGAGTTCCAGGACAGTCAGGGCTACAAAGAGAAGCCCTGTCTCGATTAAAAACAAACAAACAAACAAACACCCAAAACTAAAAACCAAAAAGACAAAACAAAACAAAAATCAAAACCAAAACCAAAAACCAATTGTTATTAGCCAGGCATGATGTGGACCCCTTTAACTGCAACACTTGGAAGGCAAAGGAAGGCACATCTCTTTGAGACTGAGGCCAGCATTGGCTATATAGGCCAGCCAGACTCGCACAGTGAGTTTGAGAGGAAAGATAGTTAACACTGTAGACTTTAGTCAAATGCTGAATGTTTTCACATAATAACTAAATAAACAAATACATAAACAAAGGGAAAGAAAGTACTACTTTAAAGTAAGAGAGGAGCCGGGCAGTGGTGGCCCACGCCTTTAATCCCAGCACTTGGGAGGCAGAGGCAGGCGGATTTCTGAGTTCGAGGCCAGCCTGGTCTACAGAGTGAATTCCAGGACAGCCAGGGCTACACAGAGAAACCCTGTCTCAAAAAACCAAACCAAACTAAACCAAACCAAAAAACCCAATGATAATAATAATAATAATAATGTCAGAGAGGCTGGAAGTGGGAGGTCCTGCCTTTAATCCAATCACTCTGAAGGATTGCGAGTTTGAAGCCAGCCTGGTTTACATAGCGTGGTCCAGGACCACCTGTACTATTGTCTCAAAAAAAAAAATCAGATATTTGAAGACTAATCTCTCTCTGGTCTACAACCCTAATTGCTGCCATTAGACCACAGCCTTAACCTAAGGATTCATAGATTTCTGTCTCCATCCACATCACTTCATCCTTGCTCAATATTCCCCCGGAGATACTTGGGCAAATTTGAATAGATCAAGTCTCACCGCTGTTCAAATCTTCCGGGGCTACCAGTCTATCTATTAGCAAAAGTCAGCTCCTTAGGTGCACTGAGTGAGTCCTGTCCCTCATCTAACGCCAGCAGAGGTCATCCCCGGGCTCTGTCTCCGAGCTTAGGCCCGCCCACAAGCCTTGGGAGGTACAGTCCACCAGAGGCTGTGAGTCAGAGGGGATGGTTCTAGCGATCTAGCACACAGATGTCAAAAAAACATAATCTGGTCCACCGGTGCCCTACAGTCGGGGACATGAGGGTCTGCCCTGTTGGCTCCTGACCCAGATCTCAGCGCTCTAGAACTCAGGTAGGTGGGCGATCACTAGGCACTCACCTGGGGCAGGGCTCCACCCGCAGCCTCCACAATCACCATTGGGCTCCAGAGGATGGTGGGGCCCTGGGACGCGGCCATCCTCACTCGAAGCCTGGATCAGATCACGCAGGTCGTCACAAACATCAGATCCGTCTCCGTGACGGAGGACAAACGCGTCTAACATGCCGGCTTTCCTGCCATGGCCAAAGCAGATGACACCAGTTTTCTGTGAACCATACTGACGGGTCCAGGAAGTTACAAAGAACCTCCTGCACGCAAAGCCAAAAGTCCCGCCCAACCAGTCTCTCCGTCGCTGAGATGCCCATTTTTATTGGCTGAACTTCATGCAATGTTTTCTGGGCAATGTAGTTCAGACAGGATCAACTGTCTGCGATCCGGACACAATTGCTCTGTTGGAGGAGACTAAGTCTCAGTGGACTTTATGGCACTGGTGTGGAGATTATTTTCTCCACACCGTTTACTACCTGAGGTGAGTTAGGTGTGGATTAGAAATTGTAGAGGCTGAGCTACAAGGCTAAGCTTGCTGGAACTCTTTTAAATTACAGAACTGCAGGCAGAGGCAGGTAGATCTCCGTGTTTTAGAAGCCAGGCTGTCATAGTGTGTTCCAGGCTAGGCAGGGCTACACAGTGAAAGCTTGTTTTATTTAATGTCTAGAAGTGCATGCGACGGGCAAAGTTGAATTTTGCATTTGAGACATTTGCCTTGCGTGAAATGATACTTGCCAGGTCCGTGAGCTAATAAATACAGAAATGGTGACCATGGAAGAGGGGGAAAGGACATGCTTGGATTGGAATCAAAGATTCCGTCATTACAGGACTCTAGATTCAGATGCTTCTCACACCACTATGGAGTCGTCAGGATTAACGTTTCTTTTGTGTATCCCCGTGCTAAGGGAAAATTAAGGGAACATCGGGATTCAGTTTAGGAAGCTTTTGCGGTGGCATTGAGGCTGCTCCGGGAAATGCAAACACTGGCTCATCTGTAGTCACAGTAGTGTTCTCCGGAGTCCTGTTAATTTCATGCACACAGTTTCTCCACGTTCCAGTTTACAACTGTCCTGGTCTCCATGGTGCATATTGTCTGAAACTACATTACCCAGAGGATATGGCACATACACCTTTAATTCCAACACTTGAGGCACAGAGACAAGAGGATCTTTGAGTTCAAGGCTAACCTGCTCTACGGAGCAAGTTCCAATTCTACACCAGAAACCCTCTTACTAAAAGAAAAACAAGGCTGGGAGGAAGGTAGGAGAGGAGAAAGGTTTTGTCTTCTGGCACCTAGACAAGTCTGAAATCTGCACTGCCTTAGTGTGACTGGTTCTAAGCCTTAGGTAGGAACGCCTCTATAAGTCTTCAAAAGCTGTTGTTTTAAATATTATTATTTTTAAATTGTAATATGTAAATATGTATAGGTGTCTATATATATATGTCTATGTACCACCCCTGTCTCTCCAGCCCATTTATAATAGTCTGGAAACCTCTTGCAATTTAATTCTTCACTTGATTTTTTTTTTTTAAATCTAGGTGACTGCTCTTCTGATGACAATGATATATTGAAGTCACCCTATTTATCTGTTCATGTGTAGTTATGTTTATTTTAGAAAATTGATATCTATCTATCTATCTATCTATCTATCTCCAAATTCTTAACAGATTGTTCCTCTTATTGATATGGTGTAGCATGTTTATGTAATCCAATCTTAGGTAAAGTGTAATTTATCAGAAGGAAGTCTTAACTACTTGTGATTAGTTTTTGTCATTCATGTGCTTTGTATATTGTCTTACATCTTTCATTTTCAGTTTCTTTGCCAGTGACCTTATTTCTTGAGGACAAAAAAGAGTGAGCCCTTACTTTCAACCCAAGCAATTGGCGTTTGGCTTATAACTAGAGACCTCAGATGATTAGCAGACAGGTTAGTTACTGGGAACTGTTTGTTGATTCTGGTAATTTTGTTGGTGGTTTATGTTTGGTTGGATTGTTTGTTCATTTCTTTCTCCTCTTATTTCTTTTTTTGGGATTTCCTGGTTTAGTGAGTGGGACATGATTCCTTTCTGGTTCTTTTTTATTAATTTCTCCTCCTCTTCCTCCTTCTCCTCCTCTCCTTCCTCTCCCTCTTCCTCTTCTTTCTCTTCTCTTCTCTTCTTTCTCTTTCTCCTCCTCTTTCTTCTTTGGTGTTTCAAGACAGGATTTCTCCGTGTAGCCCTGGGTATCCTGGAACTCACTCTGTAGACCCCACTGGCCTCAAACTCACAGAGATTAGCTTGCCTCTGCCTCCCAAGTGCTGGGACTGAAGGTGTGTGCCACCACCACCTGGCCTGTATTCTTTCTTATACACTCATGATTAAGACTGTCTTTCTGGGCTGGAGAGATGGTTCAGTGGTTAAGAGCACTGGCTGCTCTTCCAGAGGTCCTGAGTTCAATTCCCAGCAACCATGTGGTGGCTCACAACCATCTGTGATGGGATCTGATGACTTCTTCTGGTGTGTCTGAAGACATAAGTAAATCTTTTTTTTTTTTTAAAGGACTGTCTTTCTTCAAGTAGAGCATATACATGCAAGTCTATAATACCAGAATTTGGGATTTGAAGGAGGATTATGTGTTCAAGACCGTCTCCAATGTGAACTATAAGAGATGAGGCTTCAAAAACAACTATTGCAGGTGCTGAGATGGCTCAGCAGGGAAAGGTACTTGTGGCCAAGCTTGACAAACTGAGTTCAGTCCTTAAGACTCAAAAGATGGAAGGAGAGAGCTGACTCCCATAGTCCTCTGAGGCCCACATACACACTGTGATTTGCATGTGCCACCCTGCCTCTGTGAACTTGATAAACAAGCTGTGTGGGTACAGTTCTTTAAGTGTCTTTCACCTGCTGGATTGATGGTCACAAGGTGCCTTGGTTTGTGCCTATGTTGATGTGCTTTTGTTTCTGCATGAAGGTTAAGAGGTGAAATGGATGGGCACATAGTCTAGGTTAGCAGTTATATCCATACAGTGGCAGCCGTATACTTCAGGCTTTCCTGGATTTTCAGGGGTTTCCTAAGCACTGTGATAAAGTTCTGAGAGGCTCCCTTTTTTCGATGAATTGGTACTTGCCATCAGTGGCTTTTACCACTGATTTTCCCTTTGTAATTTCTACATTGAGACGAAGGTGTGTCACAGAGATTCTTCTCTTGGCACTTAAGGTGCTTAACACCTTCAGTGCTTGAATGTCCATTTCTTCCTTAGCTCTGTGAAATCATATGCTACCATTTCATTGAATGGCTTTTCTAGTTCTTTCGACTTCTCTTTTTGTTAACTTGTTTGAGGATTTAATAATTCTATGTACATGAGTGTTTTGTCTGCATGAGTGTATGTGCCTTGTGCACTGCGATTTGGATGGTGGTATACCACAGCATGTTGGGTGCTGGAAAGTGAACCTAAGTCCCCTGCAAGAACGTTGAGTTATTTTAACTGTCGAGCCATCTCTCCAGCCCTCCCTAGGTTTTGTTTCATGTCTTCTTTCTAGCCTTGGTATTCATAGGTTTGGCCTCTTGCTTATGTTTCATAATTCACTAAGGTTGTAATAATAATGCTTGTTTTTGCTTTAGGTGTTTTTTGCCTGGATTTTGGTTGGATCTTTGTTTTTGAGACAAGCTCTTACTCTGCAGTGCTGTCTGGTTTGGAACTCACTATGTAGACCATATTAAACTCACAAAGATCTAGCTGCCTCTGTCTCCCAAGTGATGGGATTGGATTAATGGCTTGCACAATCTCACATTGACCCTGTCCCATTTCATTTTTTTAAAAGACAGGTTTTTATGGATTAGTCTGGCCTCCATCTTTGTAGCTCAGGATAACTTTGAAGATTCCTAACCACCTGCCTCCCTGCCCTGACTGTGTGGCCATCACCCCTGGATTATATGCTGCTGAGAATCAAACCCAGGACCATGTGCATGCTATACGAGTCCTCTACTAATTGAACACAACCTTACTACCCTCACGTTTTGACCTCACCATTATGTTGGGCTGTTAAAAAACAGTCTCACAGCTTGAGAGACGGCTCAGCAGCTAAGAGTATGTTTTGTTCTTACAGAGGACAAGGTGGAGTTCAGTGCCCATCTAGAATCTTCCAACTGCTTTTATTTGATGTTTATGTGCCTAAGCACATGCCTGCCATACCACTGACTGACACATGTACCATCTAGTTTATGAAGACTTTGCCCATATATTTAAAATATTAAAGTATAATAGTTTGCACATGTATGATGTCGATGAAGTCAAATAAATTCCTCTTTAGATCTCAGTCTCTCTGCTGGCCTTACTAATGTACCAACACACCTTAGTGTATGCTTTATTTCCATTCTATTTTATTTTTTCTTTTATACATCATGAGGCCTGCTTGTGGCTAGGCTTTACCCACCAGTGTCTCACTTTCATTTGCTAACACTTGCTGTCCCTGGGAAGCACTCAACTGCAGGTAAAGCCCACTGTATACCAGGCAAAAATAAAAGGCCACCACTATCTTACACCACAGTAAAGGCCTCTCCAGGAGGTCCTGCCCTTCAGTCTGGGAAAGTGTAAATGTGCAGAAGTCTGTGCAGACACTACAAGATTCTATGTCACATGCCTACACAAACCCACAAACTTAACCAAATCTTTATAATAACACATGAAAATAACACTAAATTAAAACTATAGTTACATGCTACCACACAGCTACTAAAATGATTCAAATGAACACCACGAGGCTTACAGAGTGTCAGGGAGGATGTGAGGAACTGGTATCTGATATGTTGCAGGAGGAAATCTGAAACACACAGCCACTTAGAATAGAATCTGGTAACTCCTTAAAACCTGGGCTGGAGGGAAGGCTTAGTATGGAAGTCCATGTGCTACCCTTGCAGAGGACCTGGGTTCCATTTCCAGCAAACATACTGGTTCATACCCATCTGTAACTCCAGTTCCAGGAATCCACTGCCTTTTTTTGAGCCTTCATAGCCACATATTCAGTCATATATTCAGTGTACATACATATACGCAGACAAGATACTCACACCTGAGAAAACAACTTAAAACTTAAAATACTTAAAACATATGGGCTATACACCTACAAGAGAGCATAAGGTGCTACACAGAGCTGGTCCCCAACAAAATTAGTGACACTTAGGAACCAATAGGGATGAAGACTTGACAGTAAATGATCATTTATTCCAGGGACTGCAATAGTCAGTGAGAAAAAAATGCAGGCAAGCAAGCAAACAAACAACAGCAACAACAACAAAAATATGTCTTATTTAAACTGAGGTCACTCTTCCTCCCCCATTCAGTAACATGGAGACTCCACCCCAAACAGGTGCAGTCAGGAACACGGCTTCATCTTGCTAAGTCCCCAGAGAGCATTAACTTAGGAATAAGAAGATGGCAAGGATCCTCATCTTGCCTCTGTGCTCTTCTTTGATGAGTAACTTTCAATGACTTGGCTCCTTCACGAAGGCCACTCTCAGGACTTGTACTCAAAGTCACCCCTAAGGCTCAATAAGCTTGGTCAATGGCTGAAGCATGTTCTCTGCATTCACAAACCTATCTGGGTTGTGTGTGTGTTGCTAATAAGAACAGACTTTGCTCAAAGGCTTTCCCAGAATCAGTGGGTTCATAATGTATCCCAGCACTCTGGCCTCTTAGGTTAAACAGGATGGAAGTGCGGGTGAAGGCTCTCCACATTTGAAGCACTCTTGACTTTGTCCACTGACCATTCTCTTGTGTAGATAGGGTAGATCATGGGAACTATTTCTCAGGTTCATTACACTCAATACTCTTTTCAGTGTGAATCTTACGGTGCCTAGAAAGTCCAGTCCTGTAGCAAAACACTTTCCCACATTCCTTGCACTCATGATGCTTTTCTGCAGTGTGAAATCTCTGATGTTTGATGAGGCTGTGTCTCATGGTAAAGAATCTCCCACACACATTACACTCAAAGGGTTTTCCCCTGCTGTGAACTTTTTGGTGTTTCACGAGGTGCGAGGTTTTTCTGAAACACTTCCTACACTGGCTGCACTCAAAAGGCCTTTCTCCCGTGTGCACTCGGGTATGATAAACGAGGCTGGATTTCTCTTTAAATAATTTTCCACATTCACCGCATTTGTAAGGCTTTTCTCCAGTATGAACCAGATAATGACGTATGAGGCTGGACCTGTTCATGTACGATTCCCCACACTGCTTGCATTTATAAGGTTTTTCTCCAGTGTGAAGTCTTTTATGCCGAACAAAGGAGCGGTGGTGTCTGAAATTTTTTCCACATTCGCTGCATCTAAAGGGCTTTTCTCCAGTGTGAACTTTCAAGTGTTGATTCAGACCAGCCTTTTGGATGAAGGACTTCTCACATTCGCTGCACTTAAAAGGCTTTTCTCCGGTGTGGATCCTCTGGTGTCGAATAAGCAGGGACTTACAACTGAAGGACTTCCCACAGTCACAGCACTTGTAGTTCCTCTTCTCACTGTGGGTGGTCTTTCCTCTCTTGGTGCTCCTGGGTTGCTCTCCAGCATTGTGGGTCACGTGATGCCTGAGAAGCCCTGAGAGAGTGTGGGAGTCCGTTGCATTGTCTGTGCTTTGTAAAGTCTTCTCTGATAGGTCACTTCTGTTTCTCTTCGTAACTGGAATTCCGCTCTCTGCTCTTCGTAAGGGTTTCCCAGCACTGCTCAGCTGCTGCTGTTGGAGCATGGTCGCGTTAAGCCCTCCTCCATCTGTCGTTGAAAGAGTCTGCACACAAGGTATCTTTGCAAGCTCCTCTCCTTTGCAGCAACACAGAAACACAGAGAAACAATGATAACAGACATATAGACTTTGAAGTGGCAATAAACATAAGTAATTAGCACCCGAGATTTCTCACAGAAACTTCGAGATGAGAAGGGCCTACTCCAGGGATGAAGCTGGAAGAGCCCTGTCCCAGAAAACATGTCGGGCAAGAACACAGGAATGGCATGCAGCACAAGGAAGAGTGCTGGGGACCTGAACTTCCTTCCTCAGAAAATGACTTTCTGAAGAGCCTCCAATGGACATTGTCCTGATTGGGTTGGGTTTTTTTGTTTTGTTTTTGTTTTCCCCCCTCTACTTAACACACATTAGGGTCATCTGAGAGTAGGGAACCTCAATTGAAAAAAAAATGCCTCCATAAAATAATCATCAAGGGCCATTTTCTTGATTAACGACTGATGTGGGTAAGCCCACCTCATTCCCAGTGGTACCACCCCTGGCCAGGGTGATCCTGGCTGACCATAGGTGATGTTCCTCCATGGCCTCTGCTTCAGCTCTTGCCTTGGGTTTCTGCCTTGAATTATTCTTATTGATGGACTTCTTTTAGGAAATGTAAGATGAAATAAACCCTTTCCCCTTCTAAGTTGCCTTTGGTCATGATTTATCATAGCAATAAAAACTCAAAGACAGAGATGTTCAACACAGTGCAGAAGACTGTCTAAGCCCATACGATACGATACCTGAAGAATCTGTTTTTAAGGACTGCTCAGGGCACTTGTACACACTAACATAATTAAAGAAAACCTATGCTTTACAGTGTCACAGGGGAGCAGGAAAAACACACAAGACTCATAGGTAAGAGATAGTCCTGGATCAGAGATAATAGCAACTGGTAGACAACTGGCAAATATAGTCAGATGGACTCTACCACGATCCTTTGCTCTGGCACCACAACATCAGAACCCATAGAAAAATACTTCTTATGAACCCATCTAGAGTGTATACACCAGCCACCTCCACCCTCCAAATACCTGTGCACTTACTTGGAGTCAAAAATGCCAGGGGAGGGATGAAGCGATCTCCTAAAGACTCCAGCTGAGTGATGTCAGTCCCAGAAGGTACAAGTCCTAAAGTAAAATATAGGAAAAGGGAATGTCTCACACTAAGAGTGATGTAACTCATGCAATCCTTGGGAAAGAAAACTAACAACAAAGACCCCTCATGATGGTTTGAATGAAAATGGGCCCCATAGACTCATAGGGAGTGGTATTAGGAGAGGTGTGGCCTCGTTGGAATAGGTGTAGACTTGCTGGAAGAAGTGTGGTGGGTTTTGAGGTCTCAGATGCTCAAGTCAGGCCCAGTGTCTCAGTCTCTTCCTGCTGCTTTCAGATTCAGATACAGAATTCTCAGCTACTTCTCCAGCATCATGTCTGCCTGCATGCTGTCATACTTCCCACCATGGTGACCATGGACTAAACCTCTGAACTTCAAGCCAGTCCCTAATTAAATGTTTTCTTTTATAAGGCTTGCCATGGCCATAGTGTCACAGCAATAGAAACTCTAAGATACCTTTAGAGAGGTCTTGCAAGAAAACCTACCAAGTAGTATCCATATCAGTGCCATAATTTGACCCAAGTCACCTACAGGAAGAGAAGAGTACCTGGGTCATAGGAATGACAGAGTATTTATAGTGTCTCCAGCCATGGAGAAGCCTGATAGTGTGAAGTCTATTAAACTACTATAGATTCCTCACTTTAGGCCGCTTCCTGTGTACCTTTGCTACATAAGAGAGAGAAGATGGTAGTGTATCCTGCCCAGGTCTCTCACCTGTACCTCTCATCCCATGACAGTGGGGGAAAGAACCAATGTCCATGACCCACATTTGGGAAGGAGACATCTCCATAGAAAAGAAGCCAAGCCCATCCAGACAGGATTCTCTTCCAGAATGGGCGCGGGGTGGGAGCTTACCTAATGAGGACATGAGATCGAAGACCTCCATCATCACCTGATGGTACAGACGCCTCTGAGAGGCATCAAGTAGCTTCCATTCCTCCCTCAAGAAGTAGACAGCCACATCACTGAAGGCCACACCACCCTGCCACAACAGAGAATGCTGAGTCAAGAAGAAGAAGTTTCCTTCCCTTGGACTTTTGACATCCCAGAGACAGCCACTCCCACTTAGATCTCTTCTTCAGAGGGCACCAGACTCTTCATTCATTTGACACTCAGTCTCTACTTATGGTTGCAATGACCACTGTTTTTGGCACGGCCCACAGACAGGTAGACCAACAAATGAAATGTACCCAGACTTGACGTTCCATATGGAAAGTTCCACGTTTCTATTAGACTATTTATATAGGCTTCTTCACATCATGCCAACCAGGTATGTCCAGATTTGAGCCACCGTTCTCCACTATACCTCTGTCACATGAGCTTGGACATGAGCACCTCTATCCATACTTTCTGTCACCATGCATATCATCCTTCATGACGTCCCTCCATTTTCATTTTAGTATTCAAGCCTGCAGCTTGTCATCCACTGTACCCCTCCCA